AATTCCTGTCATTTACAGATCAGAATCTGGGCTTAAATGTAACTTTAATAGGGATTTCTTGGTAATTAAAATGCCTAGCAATAACTGCTATAGACCAAACTGAATTCTTCATGAGAAATACTGATGCTGTCAGTAAGGGAAACCTATTTACCTATGCCCAAAAGATTACATTAAAAAATGGAATTAAGAAAACATATGGGCAATTAAATCAGTGTATTAGATTGTATCTCCAAGTTCAATATTTAGCCTCAGTAAGATAAAATACTACTACTTTCCTAAAATACTACTACTTTCCTGCTGGTTGCACCCCAGCATGTACTGGTGTCTCAGGTTACTCCTCCCCAGATGCAGGGCTTAGTGTTTCTCCTTAAGCTTCATGAGATTCCTTTTTGCCCAGTTCTCCAGCCTATTGAGGTCCTTCTAAATGGCTGCATAGTAACTTGGTCTATCAGCCACTCCTTCCATTTTTGTATCCTCTGCAAAACTGCTGAGGGTGAAACTCCATTCCATCATCCAGACCACCCATTCTTTACTGGTCTTCCTGAATATAAGACTGCAATTTGCTCTCTTCCACTATTCAGGAAGCTCTCCCAGATTGCCATTGTCCATTTAGAGACAACTGAGAGTGAGTACCTCAGTCTTCTCCATGTCACTTGTCACGTTTCCCTGCCCCACTGAGCAGGGAAGGCACCTTTTCCTCCCTAATCTTCCTTTTGCCATTATATAATTATAGAACCCCTTCTTCTTGCCCTTCACATCCCTTGCCAGATGTAACTCTAGAAGGGTCTCCTTGACCCTATCCCTGCAAGATCAGAAAGCAACTCTTATGTTCTGCTTGGGTCAACTGTCTCTGCTTCCACCTCTTCCCCACTTCCTGTTTGGGCACAATTAGGAGCTCCCTGCCCACCCATACAGGCCTTCTACCACCTGTACTTTACCTTCTACTTGTCAGGATGGACCTTTCTTTAGGTCTTCCACACAGGCCTTTGATGCAGAGACAAGATAATCCTTCAAAGAAATGTCATAATTAGCAGTTAATCAACTCAAACAAATTTGAACTTGCAGTGAATTCTTCTCCAAAACAACCAAAAAAATGCTGCTAGGGAAAAAGCAATTTTTCAATTGTATTGATACAAAATCACCACCAAAGTAACAATGCACACTACTGTTCATGAAGTGTTTTCTTTCTTACATCCTATGTATTTTTCCTGGTAATCTTCATTGTGCCAACTGGTGTTTCAGTATAATCTTGCATCATTTTTCATGTCTTAATTATACCTTATGGGTGCTTTTGCAACAGGCTTTGACTGACTCTTTAAAGGAACACAAAAGTGGCTTTTAGAAGAAAGTACTTCTACAAAAATCAGTTGAAATTCTTATGCTGGGAAGTAAAGCAGCTACTTAGGTGTCTTAAGAAAGGAATCTTAGTCATTAAATGTCAAATAAAAATACCTACACTGTTTAAGCCTCCAAGAGCTTTAAGTAATGGCTTTAAAATAATGTAGTGAAGGCAAGATGAGCCAGGATCCATGCAACTTTTATTTTAATAATTAGACAAATACAGGAAAATTTGCAATAATCTATCAAAACCGTATCTTATCAAGAACTGGAAAGGTGTTTATAAAACATTCACATTCAATTCAGGTTATGTACAAACCAGTGTCTGTAAAAAAGAAAACAACAAATGCTTTGAGTGTAAAAGAATCCCATTCTAGTTCATGTTTCAGTATTTCCTATGACCAAGTTACCACTGAGATGCAATCACAGTGCAGACACGTTCCACAGTCTATTAAACTTGTTTCGACAGCATTGCCAAAAGCAGCTTTTTCAAATAAAGCATTTTGATAAGTTTTGTTTTACAGTACCATCCATCCAAAATTTACTTCCGCATATTTAATTCTTGACTGCACTAATGGCAAAAGAGTTGTCATCTACAGGCCCACATCTCCATAGGTACAGATATATATATCTATATATCCAAGAAGCACCAATCTCCTATGCCTGAAACAGCCTGTGTCTGCTTTGTACATTGAGATTAATCATTTTAGTGGAGTGCAGCCCTTGATTATTTGGCTCAAAGTGATCATCTACCCAGCCAGAACTACCCTGATTGCAGCATCATGTGCATACACTGTCAAGATGCACCCCACAGAGATGACATTTGAATTGAGTGCAACCCTTAACAGCCATACATAGATATGACAGCATCACACACCTTTGCTGTAAGACCAGCTTCCAAGGGTCTCTCTTTTTTGCCCTGGATTAAATCCCCAAACAGGAAAGGAAAAAAAAGAAAAAGTGAAATGGAAGTACCTGAATTTTAGGAAAATATGTAATTTGTTATTACATCTTCTCATTTGTATATCTATTTGAAGCTTAGCCGAAGAAGGAGACCAAGATGAAAGGGGAGAGAAAGCTACCATGACGCCCAGTTTCAAAGTATGAACACTGAAACAGCCACACAAGTTACCAGCCAGTCTGCTTGAGCACAAAAGAGATGAATCTAACTACTAGGGTTACACAACAGTTCTTTCAGAGCTACAGTCTAATGTGCTGTCATTAACATACTAATTTAATAATAATGAAAAGTCTCTCAGAAATGCAGACTACCTATCAGAAGTCTTCCTGTTATACCAATCTAAGCAAGCTGAATCACAGTCTCGAATTAGATCAGTGTTTCAATACAAAGGAGAGAAAAGTGACACAACCTTCACACTTGTGTAGTAACAACCCAAATGCAAACAAAAGCTATTGCTGACTGAACCTTATATGGACCCAAGTACTGGGATGATCTTTAGTTGCAAGAACTCATTTGAAACATAAGCTACCATGACTTGGCATAAGTGGGTAAATCTAGAAAATTTCATCTGGCTTTTGAAGGTGTATCCAAGACCTGGTAAATGCAGAGTATTTTAATGTACAGTTGCCTAGGCTTGAAAAGCAACTTCCCTTCCGAATTTGAGATTCAAACACAAACTTGAACAGTTTTGTGTTTTGTGAATACAAATTTGATAGTCTCCCCTACTGTGACTCTACACCAGCTCAAAAATTGAAACTCCAGGATAACAGAAGCAGCTCTCGGGAGTGGAAGACTGGCAATTTAGTGTTTGAAGAGTCTGAGCTCTTCCTCAAGTTGTACCTCTGACACTCATTCAAGTATGTGGCAAGAAAGGCTTTTGTGCATTTCTATAGATTCTAAAGCAACTCTTAATGGAACTACTGCTCCCATGGTGCATATTGAAGCCAAAAAAGAAACCAGAGAGATGACTGCTGCATTAAGCAACAACTCTTAACTGAGAGCCGGCTCAGATAGCAAACAAATGCTACTGATGCCAACCCTTAGCAAACCTGTTCTATACAAGGGAACAATAGCTAGGATGCACAATAAGACACACAAGGGAGTGTTCTTACATATAATGCTCAGGAAAGGGACAAGTTACAACGGTATAAAACCAACTCAAAGTCTTGTTAAAAAAATATGCAAAAATCCAAACACAAAAACCCCAAATACCAACCAACCAACCTGTTTTAAGTCAGACTTAACTTCAGCAAAATACAGAACAGTGATTTAAGCTAGAAAACACAAGCAAGTTTGACTTGAAAAGTCAGTGTAAGCAATTTTGATATGGTTAGTTTATTAATGCTATCCATGAGGAATCAGCACACAAATGAGATGAATAAAAGCACTTTAGATGAGACAAGACAATATATTTCATGAAAATGTAAATGCTAACGTGGCAGTTAGCAAGTCATATGGTAAGAGACATACATTACCAAGGACAATCAAAGAATGCCTTTCTTGGTTTTAAAGCAGATTTATACATCACAGCCTTTCTTCCTTTATTTGGGCAATGGTTGGTGAGCACCTGTGATGTTTCAGTCCTCTGAATCTATAGGCACTGAAACAAAGCCCCAGAAAAAAGGTGAAAAGAGCTTGTGTCAGGATTTTGACAGTTGTTCTACTTGGCAAGCACTCCAGTGTCAAGATGCAAATAAAATGGAATGCCCATCCACTCCCTATGCTTCCCAAGAAAAAATTTACTTGTACAGAGTAAGAGTCCAAAAGCAAAACCAACTTCATGTCACGCAGATCTCATTTCCAAGTAATTATTCATAAACGAGTTCTTTCAAATGAAGAAAACAGAGTTTAGCAAATTTAAGGTTTGAATAGATTCTTCTTGTAAGAAGTTCAAAATCTCCTATCTTCTTTTCAGTGTCATTGAATTGTCTTTTGTTTCTCCAATCTTCAGTTCCTCATGGGAGAGTTAATTAAAGTGAAGAGGGTCACAAATTTTGCTCCTCAGTGACATTAAGCAACGTCCCACCTAACTCAAGTATCCTCAGCAATAAAGACACTGCATAACAAAAAAAAATCCCTGCCCAGCCTGAGGTGTTAGATAGCTGAGTCTTCAGGTCAACAAAACTCTAAACCACATTTTTGAAGACAAAGAGTTTCAGTGCTGCAATAGAACTGCTTCAAACAGCACTTTGGTCTCTAGATCTGGCAAGCTAAACTCCATCTGGGATTGCCGCAAACATCTACTTCTTTCATAAGAATTTCAATAGAAGGAACATACACCAACAATGCAGTCCGTGCTGTTAGGGACTATTCTCAAACACAGGGTTTGAAATGGTGTTCTAGCAAAATGCTTTGCGAGAGCACAAATAGTAAGTCCTGAAATTGCTTTTTAATGTAGTTTATTCACCTTTTAGACTGTAAGATCCAAATAAGGACCTTATGATCCTCTAATGCCAAATAATTCAGTCCAAGTCTAAGCAGCTACATAAACTGGAGCAGGTGTACAGAAGGTGCACTCCATGCTTAAGAATACAAAGTATTAAAACTGAGAAGATGTTCTAGTTCCAGTGCGAAAAAAAAAAAAGCTTTTAAATTTACTAACCCAAACGCACTCAGGCACAGAGGCTATGAAAGTCGTGGAGCACTCTTAGAGTGACAGTACTTTCTCCCTTTGTCAAATTGCTACAAAGTCCTTTCTCATTTCACAAAGCAGAGTCAGGACTCCACTGTCAGAAAATCACTGCTGAAGAAGTCCAAATTGGGTTCTCTTTCTTCAAGCGGTTACAGGGACAAGTTCCATGTGATTTGCCACCTTCTTCTGTTAACACCAAGGAAGTCCTGAGCACCCTTAATGCTGTGAAAACAATCAACCTGTGGTAAGAGATCACATTGCTGGTGGAAGCATTAGCCATTTTCATACAGTTGGTCCTTACCAGAGATATGTATATCAGATTTCCTCTGATATAATAGCACCTGGTTTAGACTGGCCATCAGGAAGAAGCTACTTTCACACAGGAAAACTCATGTGGTGCCCAGTGCAGCAGTTGTCTCAGGAAAAAAAATCCAAAACCACCATCGGAGGAAGTTGTAATGATTCAGGCTTGGAATCTTGAGGATTAAACTTCAGCCTCACTTGAGAACTGAGGGAAAAACATTTTTCCTCCTCCCAGATTTGCTACAAATATCCATACCAGCATCAGGTCTGCTAGATATAAAACTGATGGAATGCTAGCTGGTCCATAAAGGGTTGCACCAAGTTATCTGTAGCAAAGTAAAAAACTAGCCCAAAGGTTATGGAGATTGGAAGAGCTGGTAAGGCCTTCTTAAAGATGGCAAGAAGCAGAAGTGTAAGGCACAGACCCTGAGGAGAAGAAAAAACCACAAAAAACATAGGGAGAAATTAGGGAACTCTTGACAAACCAAAGACCAAATATATATATATAAAAACATAAACATTAATCCCACAGAAATACAAGATACAGTTTATGCCTTCCTAAACTAAAGGCTTAAGTGACAGATGCACACAATGAAAATCACAGCTAAAGTCCTCATCAGTTTCCAGTCTGGCCACCCAATAAACAAAATCAAAACCAAAATGTAGCAGTTACAATTTTGTCTCTGATGAACAATACAAACTATCCCTATTATAATATTAGATGATACTTACAATTAATATGGCTACAAAACATGCTAAAGTTGTATTCCAGTCCCCACTTGCTGTTGCAGAGGCTTTGCCAACAAGGACACTGTAGAAAATGAAGTCTCCTAAACCTAGCTTTACTCCTCCTGCAAAGTGAATACATGGCAGCATTAAGTATCAGTTGACTAATCATACACATCAGTAATGGTCAGAGAATACAGATTTACATTAACTATTAACAAGAGTTGCTAATAAGATTTTATTTTCAAAATTAGTATCACTCCTGAATCAACTGATAAACTCCTGTGAAACAAGATGGCTTAGGAACACACTGCTCAATTAATTCATCCTATAACTAGAATTTTCCTATATTTCTAGTCTCCTGTACATATTAGTGGAATATATACAAACTCAGATATTTTTAATTATGTTTGTGAAGGGGTGTCCACTTTTGGTTATCTTGCCATATTCAGCAGAATATTGAAGTGCAATTCTTTTAAACTGGCTGAGGGAGGGGAAAAACAAATAAATCCCTTGCAGATGATGCAGATGATTTGCAGTTAGAAACCTATACACAGCAAGATATTCCACCGCCTTCCCAAGTTTCCTACAGAATTCTTACGAAGGTAAGAAGCACTTGTGTGTCATTACAGAGTGTATCACAGAGGCAAAACCTCAACATATTTGGTCCAAGATGTGAGGTTTAGGAAAATTCGTGAGTTAATGTCTTATTCTTTTAAATAGCAATTCCCACCTTAGCAACAACTCTGGAAGCACGATACTCAATTATTTATGCAAGCACTAAAGCAAAGATTTCCTGAACACCAGTTCCCTTTCTGCACTTTTAGCCCAAGATATTAAGTAAGAAAGGCCAGTATCAAGGGACCAACTGTTTTCATTTGGCCTATTGATTACTTTGTCACATGATTACAGTCCAGCCCAAAACTCCCTTTAGAGTTCCAAGAGAAATTTAAGAGCATTAAAACAGGTATAAGCCTGGTTGATCATTGAGGGGGGAAAAATAGCAAAAGAAAGAAGGGGAAAACATGGAAAAATGGCAACCCTACTCTCTTTCACCAGGCCTCCAATACATGGTCTAGAACCCTGCATTCATGAAAAGCTCTTCAGCACTAGAACGCCCTTAACTGCTGAAGCAGAACTCAGATGCTTGCTTTCAGCATAACAGAACAATAAGCAAAGGCAACTGCTAGGTAACTCCTTCCATGCGAGCAAGGCTTTCGAAATCTCTAATAAGCCACTCCAAACTTCTAGTAAGGTAATGCTGGCTGACGGGTCTGACTGGACCATATGCACACCTATCATTACCATTCATGGTAGGGATACAGGAAGGAGAAAATTATTAGCCAGGCCAGGCAAGAGTTTTAGTTATCCAGGTAACTAAAATAGCCTAATTGCTAAAATGTTATCATTTTTCGAAGCTTTAGAAATTAGAAAGGATTTGCAACACATTGAATTTGGAATTTTTTGAGACAAAGTAAATTCTAAAATTGTTCTTTGAGTAGAATTCTTTGTATTTTTAAACAGAGAAGCACCTGATAATCAGAGGAAGCAGTTGCACCTGCGAAATACGGCAGCACCACATGGGGAGACTAGCTTATTAGACAGGCAGACCCTAACTTATTTAGAACTTTTCAAATCTATCAGCAGTTTAAACTCCAACAAGTCTGGATTGACAAGTCTGTTAAAACAGGTGTCTGAGTATTGATGCTATGCACTCTCCAAAGGGACTGAACCTTAGCAAGATGCTGGAGAAAAATAAGCAAGCCCACGGTGTTAGCGTAGAAAACACATAATCACGGAATGATTATATGGGTGCTTTTATTGAAGAGCTCTGGGAGTCGGGGTACAGACCCAAATCTGACTCCGACATGGTTCTGAGATGGATACATTTTTATACTCTTCTCTTACATAACCATGGTATAGTCATATGTTAATCATTACTTTGCTATTGTTCTATTGATTTCATCCAAGCATGATTCGAGTTCTCTTTCATCCTTGTTATGCTTCACCCAAGCATGAGTTTCAGTCCCCCTTCCATCATTGTTGTATTTCACCCGAGCATGAGTTCGAACCCCCTTTTCCATGATGGTGGTATAATTATCTGTTATTTAGGGGGGTACGTACAGATAGGTACCCAGGTGTACTTGCACAGGTACACATAGACCTGCTAAGATAATAATCACTCTTCTCATTAAGACCTATTCTAGCTACCTTGCCACTAAGGCCTACTTTAGCTACCTTGCCACTGAGGCCTACTTCAGCTAGCTTGCCACTAAGGCCTACTTTAACTCCCATGATTTTTAGAAACATTTTATCCCATGTTATCAATGGCATTCTGAATTCATTTCAGTCTCCAATCAGGTTTTAAACATTGCTTTCTACAGAGTGGATTATGCTAGTTTAATCTTGAGGCCCTTGCTTTTACAGGGCCTAAAATCCAAAAGAGGTGTACACTGCATGAAAAAGACAGAAGCTACTGCCATTGACTGTATAATGATCAGAAAACAGTTTGTGATATTAAAGTTTTGAGTCTATCAAGCTGAAGAGTGATTTGGCCTATATTACTCAATCCTGCAGCAAAACGAAATGCTACCTAAAAGCAACACCATCTATTTCTATGAGGCACATCAGTATCAACCATGAGCAAGAGCATCTCTTCAGCTTGCTATTAGCTCACAGCATCCTGTATCTGTGCAGTCAGGACGACTAAGACTGACCATCTTCAGATTTGGTAAGTTTTTCAGACCCAGCACCCCATACTCACGCTCTTCAGGGTCTTCACTTGTTTGAGAGTTACTGGGTAGAGACTGAACCGCAGCACGTGATTCAGGTGTTGATTCAATGGGTCCTATTCTATTGTCCCTTTGTTGCTGCCATTCCTGACTGAAGCCACCATCATCTGCTTCCGCATCTTCATTCTGAGTCTGGCTTGCCGGAGCTCAAAGGAAGAAAGACATTTAAGACCTCCAAAAATGTGCTTTCTGAAACATGAAAATCTCTGCATATGTAAGATCACAGAAGAATGAGGGGAAAAAAAAGGGTATTCCATAATATTTAGCAACATCTAACACTGGCACACATAATCACAAGACATCCTCACTTAGGATTTTAATACTTATTTGAACAATTAGGAGTCAATATGCACTCTGCAGTCACAGCATATATACAGGTTGCAGTCCTAGTGCTCAGGAGTACTTCCACATAACAGAGCGGAAGTTCTGCAGTGATGTAACTGGAAGATCACAATTTAAGGAATAAACTCTCATCTAGTATTTCATTAGCTTCTTTAATCAACATTGACAGGTCAATTTTCCAGTAAAATCGAAAACATTACTGAAAGTTACATAAACGTAGATGCTTTCAAGCATGTCAAATTATCAAACTCTAACCTATTTTAATAGCACAAATAATGAACACACCCCGTATTTTTAAACACTAGCTGCATAGCCAACAGTGCTAGACACATTTCTGTTTAATACAAACATAAATGAGTTAGCATTATACTACATCATCCCAATCTGAGAAGCAAGCAACTGAGCTCAGTCAATAGCTGTCTATTGAAAGCCAATTCAAAACCAACATCCCAGATCCCAGAGAAAATTAATGTAAGAGCATTAACTGCACAATAAATAAGCAATTTTTGAAGTCTTGGCAGATTTGTCATTCCTAATTAGGCCTCTATGCTTCCACTCCTCTACAGCAACCAGGACACTTAAAAAACTAAGTATCCATAAATAAGTATTCTAACAAAGTGACAATTATGAAGGTTTGTCAAAGAAAAACTCACCTCGTTTATCATAAGTAGAGTTTTTTGACACTTTCCGTTGGGCTTCTGGATCTTCCTCAGCCATGTTCACTAGCCAAATCATTGTTGCTATGAAAATAAACCAAAACACAACAGCATAGCTAATCGTATCTTCAGACATATGCAATTCTGAGATAGTGTTAGCATCAATCCATTCTTTTCATTTTTGGAGGGGTTTTTTGATACAATTATCTTTTTCAACAGGCAATTTTACTCTCATTAAAAGCACAGTTATATCTGGAACACAGCCAATACCAGCTACAACACACTTTTACAGGATTTGGTGAATAAAGTTTTATTCCTACTAGATGTTGAAAAAAAATACCAACAGCTGTTGCCAGTGAAATGGCTTCTATATATGAGGCTCACCCTGAAAATCTGAATATACAATTTCTTTACTTATTTTTCAATAATCAGTTCTTTTACCTGCAGGTAAAAAGGTTTATAACACTGGTACTGAGTTACGTCAATTCAGAGGTTATATCAGCCTCAAAGTTAATTATTCTCTGCCTCCACCATCATAAAGAATTCTCCAATCTGGAGGCAACATAATGTTGCCACACTTAAATGGTGCATTTTAATTAAAGTTTGTGGTTTCTCAGCATTAACCTCTCCTCTCACAAAAAAGGATAACAGGCAACTATGTGCAGTATCAGTAAAACATAGCAAGAGTGGGAGATAAACAAAACCCTCCCTTTCCTCCACTGTAAGCTTGCCCCTTAGAAGTAGCCAGGCTACAGCATGATTCCTGCTTCCAAATACAGGCCTGTCTTGAGCACAGTAGCATAATCACTTACGATTAGCCTATTTCACTGTTTGACCATATGATTATGATTAGCAATATGGAACTTCAGAAACAGTGGAATTTATGCACTAATTGATACACAGGTCATAAGATCAAGTTTAATTCAGTAGGTTATTTTTCACAACTGCAGGGAGAAACAACAGATCAAAAAAGACAAGCCCTGGAGAAAACAGTCCCATAAAGTCATCTGTTCTTAGCAATTTTTCACATTCTTTTTAGTAAGACAGGTTATTTAAACACTGAAAGCTGATAAATATTTTCTGAGAACAAGTACTCCCTTTGAATAGGCTTAATTCACAGCCTAATGACATCCTTCTTTGTCTAAAACAAGGTCTGTTACCATTCTTCCTGTTTGCAACAAAACATGCTAGTTTTAATCTTGAAACATCTTAGCCAAGATGATGTTCAACATTTTTGAGTCAACAGTGAAGGGAAAACTGTGGCCCAAATGAATAGACCAAGAATTCCAGCTGAAAAGCATTGTATTAAAACACAGAAAAATGAGAAAATCACTTCAGCTGAGTGGGTGATTGCAAGTTTAAAAAAAGAAAACAAAATGTACTTACAGGAGTAAATAAGTGCTGGAAACAGAGTTTCATTTCTCTCTTGAGCTGTTTCAACTAGCATACGAAGAGGACCTTTAGGACACAGGACAGCAACCAAATCTGAAAGGAAGAGTAAACAGATCTTACATCACTGCAGAAATACTTAAAAGAAGTTTTTTTCTGCAACACTTGCAGAGGCTTGTAATAAGAGAAAAAGCACCTTGAACACAGACTTCCAGGACAGCCACTGGCCAACTCAGTATCCAACAGGAATACTTTTTAATATTCTCAGTTATACAACCTATTTTACATATTACTGTGACATGTATACAAATTTTAAGATACAATATTCCTCACTTAAGATATTATGCAACTGCAAACGTATCTGTGTCTACCTGTTGACCTGCAAGTAATTCAAAAAAGGTACTATTCAATTAACATCTTGGAAATACCCAAGTTTGCCTTCTATTACCCAAGTTTTTATAACCTAAGTTTAATGCTAAAACAGATTTTAAGATAACAGGTGAGGTTTACATGTAGGCATATTTGGACAGAGTTCTAACACTGCTACTCCTTTTTGCAGCTGTCCACTCACCATATGTCTTTAAATTAATTTGAAACTAATACTGACACTGAAAGGAACAACTTACTTGTCAGGAGTTGAGTGTTGCACAGAGCAGGTCTTCTACACCTGAGCTACCTGCCCTAGCAACACTGCTGGTCCTAGCAAGTGAAAAATGCTTAGTGTGGAGTCACAGGCTTTGAAATTTACATCCCCTTTTCTCTAAACAAATTGACCTCAACAGTAATTTCGTTTTGCTGTCACTGAATAAAGGCTGAATACCTGGAATACTCAGATTTGTTCCAGTCATATGAAGGGTGCAAGTGGGGATGGGAAGGTTTTCTTAATGTGCCTTATGGTCCATGAGCACAAGCACATATGACAACTTTCCTCCCTCTGAAGAAAGAGAACACTTAAGGAGAACACTGACCTACCAGAGTTAATCAAATCTTATTAACCTCTGCACTTCAAACTGGACCGATTCTCAGTCTTTACCATAATCAGCCACTTTGAGAGTATACATTCATCACACTTCCACGCTTCCGAAAGAAATAAAATTATGAGCACATCTTCATGCAGCTGTAACGTTTTAATTATGTCTAAGTAACTGAATTTTAGTCTTGCCTGGGAATTAAAACAATATTTGGGATACAGTGATCTTCTTACCAAAAGTGTCCAATGCCCCCTAAAGCTTTATGAGAAAACTACATCCAGGTTTCTCTCAGCTATCATTCTGAAAAAGCATAGTATGCAATAACTCAAGCAAATTTTCTTTTATTTAAAAAAATAGAAAGAAAAAACCCAGGGAAACAGATCTCACAACTATATCCTTCTAAATGTAAAATGACTTCGAGCAATGCAAAGCGCCATTAATCCTTCCTTGCTTCCTTCTCGTAACCAGGCATGGATCAGCTTGTTGTTTCTATGTCCACAAATTTGAGCAATTCAGACAATTCGGAGGTTGGGGAGATCTGTATTTGTATGGGACTGTACCCGAACACCAAGCTCCTAAATTCTGAACATAGAGTAGTTTCCAAGGATTCTTGGGGAAAATGAAAAGCCAAAAGTTCTCCACCTTTATAAAAGAGGTCAAAATAACAACACCGGTCTTTCACCTCCTCCTCTCCTGAATTACTTCAATTCTCGTCCCCAAAGAATCTCGAGTCCAGGAAACATGAAAGAGGATGGCATCACACCATTACACAAAGCACTCAACTGCAGCAAACTGATCTCAGTTTAGATCATGATCTCATTTCTGAAGTTTGTAATCACCTTATCCATTACTTTGGACAATACACACACATTTTTTCTTCTTTTAAGGTCTAGTCAGACAAGTGGAAAAGAAATTCCCACCATGGTACCTGTTACTATGCCTTGCCCCAAAACTTACCATACACTGAAATGACAGCCAGGATAAGCCATGCAGTCCATTCAGGAAGGTACTTAATGAACACCAAGGCCATGAGAGCACTTATCATAATGAGATATGCCTGCTGAAGCCGAAGGGGACCCTTCCAGTGAATACAAATCATTCCCACAACACCAAAGTTCCAGATCATGAGTGCCACTGTAATGTAGTCCATGGCAACGTTATAAGTCTTGAAAACCTCACTAAAAAAAGAAAAAGGGAAATAATATGGACTGCATTTACTTAAAACAATGGAAACAAGTGACAGATGCAAATCATGCAAACTTCACAATATTTGTAAAAAATATTTCATATTCAATGTAGTGGCACAAATGCAAAATTCTTTCTCCAATTAGTACTTAACTATTCTTCACAACGGGGATAATTGTGCCAAGTGTTTGCTTCACATCAACTTCCACTTCTTTGAAAATTTTCCTTAATGTTCTATTTCCTTTGCAATCAAAGCAGAAATACTGCAAAATCAGTCGTTTTGATTGTGATCATAATTTTTAAAAATCAGAATAATCAGAACTTGTGACATTATAATGCATCTCTAAAGGCCTGCAAACAGATCTCTCCTTGCGTGCTGGCTGTGGAATGCTTTGCTAAATTCAATGTAAGATGTAGTTATTCTATTTCATTCTTTACCACAAACACTGAAGTAAAAACCTTTATTTTTGGATGAACCATGTCACTGTCACACCAAATACTGTAAGCTAATTAAGACCCTCAATAAATAAAACCAAAAAAGAGAAATATGTTGTCATCAAGTCACAGGTGATTTCAGCTGACCTAGGGAAGAAAAGGTTGTGATGGCTTTCTGCAGATTCTGCTGCTACTGACTCATCAAGCCACTAATCTTGGAATTTGCATAATGCTTTCCTCCAGGAAATTTGTCCTCTGTAGCTGTCAGTTGACCTTTATGATGCACAGTGTTAACAAGATGTCCCCTACTGTCATCATTTGTAATCAGTCTACAAACTCCCTCCTCACTCACTTGAACCTCTGCAAAAGGAAGCCAGCACTGCTGTGAGGCAGCAGGGACAGATGAAGGAACTGCCTTGCATTTCAAAAGTAATTGTTAAGGTTAGAGAAACTACTGACCGAAAAAGGCATCACAGATCACTTTGAGCAAAAATCAGTGACTGCAGGAACACTATTTTCTCCCCCCAGGGACCAAATTAAATAAGCTTCTTCAAGAAGAAGCATATTTGTCATGAAGTGGTACAAAAATATACAGGGTATAATAATTTCAGGGCATAACTCTTAATTACAAACCCTGATTGGGTTATTCCTTTTAGACAATACGAGTATTATGGACAACTTTTGTGGATGCTTGTGAAATGCTGGTGCCTGAACAATAGGCCCAAGCCAGAGTGGACTTATAGATGAATCCTGTATTCCTTGTGAACAGTGCTTCTTTGTGTTAGTTAATTAGACCACTTAATGTAGAACATAGATGCAGATAACCTTTGCCTAGGCTATATACCTGTCATGGGCCATGCTGCCCGGAAGATATCTTAGAGATGACCCTTGTATAGGCTATATATCTGCCCAAGGCCATGGTGCCTTCTGCAAAATATCTTATAGATAAGTTGGGTACTGGTTATAGAATTGTCCAAGAAGTATTGCCAAGGTCATGCCCTGTCTGTAATACATCTTAGGAAACTCCACCACCCGTGTCCTGGGCTCTGGCCAAGCCCCGGCCTCGGTTGGTTGGAGGGGAGAACCACCAGGTGTTATCTGCACAAATGATAAGAAACTGCAAGTTATTTTTTGCTTGCTAATTTGGCCTATAAAAGCTGGACGCCTTGCAGTGACTCTGGACATGTCACCTATGGGTGGACACACTGTGTAGGACTTCCCAATTGCCAAGAAAGGCTCTCCAAATCCTTGCTGCAACCAGGGTCTCCCCAGCAATTGCTGGTCTGCGTGATGATAAAGTATTAGGGCAACTGGTGATGGATCTTTCTTAATCACTATTCTTTCCTGTATGTAGTAATGATTAGGTGCATTACCTTGCTTATTGTCTTTATTGTTTGTGCTGTTTGCATTAGAGTTTTCTTAACTAACCTTATATGTAAATATATTATTCATTTTTCTATTATCTTAAAACACCACTAGTAAAATAGCCCTATTCTTTTCGTTGACATCTGGATCATTTTTGTTGCCCCCATCAATTGGTAGAACATGCCTGCACAAAGGCATGCTTCCAAATTTGAAAGGAATAGCACTGAGTATATTCTGGCGAGATAGTAGATTCTTTTCAGCTGACTCCCATCCACCACTCCATGCAAACAGCCTTTGCATCTACAGCCCACCATCAAAGCCATGATGTAAACAACTGCCCTTGAGTCATATGGCTATGAAAAATTAAGTTATCAGAAGAGAAGCCAACAGAATAAACTACTTGTGCAACAGACCTTATTCTGGTGATGCATGTGATGGACAGCTTTAGTACAGTATCAGATGCACTATAAACCCATAAATCTTTCTCCTTTATGGGTACTCATCTATATAAAACTAAAAATTTTATGGCAATAGCTAAGTCACTACCATTTGTCTTAGGATTCAAGGCCTAATTCTAAAATAAATACATTCAAAAAGTAATTCATGAAAAATAGCATATTGATGTGTTAGTCCACTTACCCCAGGTAGATGAATGAGAAAAAGAAGAGTAGCAAAAGAGAGGAAATGATAAGCCAGCCATGGATCACCTGGAAAAAAGTTAATAATACAAACATGTTTAGACTTGTTAAAGTTAATATCTATTAAAAAAGCTTTTAAAGTTATTTTTCCTTTTGAATAAAGCAAGAAAAGGATTTAATAAATATATCTCTCTGGTTGTTTTTAAATTCATATTTAGTCTATACATATTATTGTATTTCTACTTACACTTAAAAATTTTAAGTGCTTTGGGGTCTTTACCTCTATTTAAAACTACTGTCGCAAATTTTTAGACCATTTTGGTAACAGTGGCACCAGAACATAGCAGAAGTATCCAGCATTAACAGGCAGACAGAAAACATGATTCATTTCTGTTCTGCTCTGATTCCAAATCAGAGTACAGTTATAGAATGAAATGCTGGAACCCAGAAAAGCCTTCAGTGCTTATCTGTTGGAATGCCAACAATGAATGACTATATAAGAATTTCTATATTCTCATCTGTAGACATAATCCCTAACTCTGATATGAGAGCAGAGATACATGCCCAACAATTTAATGAAAACCGTTTCAGGGTACTAAACTGCACTCTGCAGGGACACACAGAGACTTACACCTGCAAAGGACAGGCACTCAGACTTTGCACTGACCAAAGTGCACACCACTCTGGTGTATTACTGTGCAAAACTAAAAATTTAGATTAAGAGCCCTGTAACTTCAGTAATCTCTGAATTGAGAATGAACATGTATTTGTCAAAGTTCCAGCACAGAATCTTATGTATAAAACCTGACCCAGCATTGCAAGTCGATAACCAGTCAGAAGCAATAATCTAGAAATTAAAGCTGCGTAAGAAATCCTACTTTGAACAGACATGCTCAGTGGAAAATTAACTGGTTAAATTAGCTATATATGTATACCAGATCAAAGTATTCAGAAACTGTTAAAAATTGTGTTATCTATGTCATTTCTTCTTAAAGATTTGTAGTAGAACACATCTTACATTACAGTTTTTAAAGTATTTGCGAGATTTAATTGAAATGTAAAGTCCACATGCACACAGACTAAAGAAATCACATAAATGCCAACTTAGGTTTCTCATTTACTATAGCATTTTTCAGATCACTGGCCTCTTTTCATACAAGCAATTTTTCCGAAGTATTTCTTGGAAGTTTTGGTCAGTGTTTTCCTAGCAGGATACCATGACAGGTTTGCTGCCTTCTCATTAAAGAACTTTCATTCTTCATTTGACAACAACTTCAACACTAATTGATTGCTGGTACAGATTTGACACTGCCTGCTAGAACTTGAATAAAAACCAAGGATGGACTGCAGAATGCAGAGAATTAAAGTGAGCTACAGCAGTTAGACTTTGGTTAGGCAAACTAAAACTCTGCAAAGAATGCAGAGAATAATAAAATAAAAAGTAAATCAAATACAATCCCCTTTGAAGATACTGTTTCTGGTTAAATTTAGGAGCTATAATCAGGTCGTGCTTAACTTACCATGTACAGGACAAACATAGGAAACTAACAGCAGTGAAGCTGAAGAAGCATTTCCTTTCTTCAAAGGAGTTTTCAGATAATCTCGTGAAGATAAGCAAATTGTCACTACTGGATGGAGGCCTAATGTTCTGTCATTATAAATTCAATTCCCCATATTTTAGACTACATTCTACATATAGAATTGCATGTAAAATAGAATTCAATGTGCACATGCACAAATGCTACATTTTATAGCATGCTGATATAGCAGCACAGCAATACTCTGTTAGCAAATCTAAAAATAAGTTAATTATTTATTGTAATTAGCATAAACTATAACTACAGGAAAATTTCTGCTGTCTAATCATTCTGATTTTTTAGTAGAGCAATTATTTTTGTAAGGATAATATGCTGTGTTTTGAAAGGTCAAGAGGGAAGCCAGAAATGTGAAAAACTTAGTAAAAACTAGCTGATGCCTTCAGCAACTGAGGAGAACCAACTGGCTACTAAGGAACCTAGCTAAAGAACATCAGTTGACTTCATTAGAATGGAGAGAATTGGCAGCTTAACAAGAAAACTTTGTCAGTTCAGATTTAACACCACACTGTGATAAAAGAGAAGGTCCAAACTTCAAAAATTACTATTGCGAGATGTATGCAGATCCAGGCAAAAATAATTTCCCCAGACACTCCACAGATACTTTGTAAAGTGATTTCACCCACAGACACGAAGACCAAAACCATTTTTCTCTCTTGGAAACAAAATGAAGTGGAGCAAAGCTTTGAACCCCACTGCCTGCTTTACCTCAATGAAACAGATTCAAGGTTCTGGCTGCACACTGGGAAGTTTTATTAGGCCAAGCCTTGTCCAATGGGTCACTAAGGCCAAAACAAACCATGAATTTTCAAGGACAATTTAGTTATGCTAAGTCTGGACTTGCCTAAATTACATATAATTTGCACAAAAGAGTCTCTGTGTTTGCTGTAAGAATACCACCAGGTGTGTACAGCCATGCACACATCACACTGCTGCAAGGCATCCATACTGAGAGCAGGGTGGGAAGAAGGAAGCCCTCAAACAGCCCCTGAAGAGATTTTGAATTGTAGGACCAAGTCTGTCCTCGGTATTTCTTGACCACAGGAAGATTTCAGTGCATGGGCATTTCAGAAGAATCAAAAGCAATGTCACCCTAATTCTAACAGATAAAACAGATGGCAGTGTTAGCACTGGGCCTTTGCCCTGCTTTCTGTCAAAGGAACAGAAGCCACAAATTGCAATAGTGAATTGAATCACCACTTCTGCTACTTTTGCTCACTCATCCTTGACAACCCTTAGTTTTCTTCCATTCTCAGTAATTTGTACTAATAACTAAAACTAGCACAACTACTTACCTTGTAGCATCTGTATTTGTAAAGCACAACCAGGAGTATGGTCATGACAATGATGACGCTGATCATGATAGCCGCATTGAGAATTGAATTCAGGGCTCTCTGTCCTACTGTCTCTGTCTCTTCTGTGAAAGGAGTGTAGATGCTACAACAATAAAGAGTCAACTGAAATGACACTGAATGCACAGAGGTTTCTGATAGTTGAGGCCAACATCAAACAATATCGCAGTAATCTTTCAATTCAGAGCTGTAAAAGCAACAGATATCTTCTATGGAGGCGAAATTTAAAGGTGGCAGAGTACCGTATTAGGCAAATTCTAATTTAAAAAAACCCAAAGCCTTTAGAAGACTTGCCTTTCCTATAATCTTAGATTACTACTGTTTTCTGCTCTGTAAAGCAAACAAAGCCCAGAACTCCACACTGCAGGACGGAGCTACTCCCACGCCACGTGTCATTCCCATTCTCCCATGCCATCACCCCTACAGGGGAGTCACCGCAGAGGAGTCACCGTGGAGAGCTCCCCACGGATTTCAACAAAACAAAAAGGGCTCAACTCGCTCTTTCTTAATGAAATACAAACTCCTGGGGCAACTACGTCAGTGTGGGGAGGGAAGGGGAGGCAGGCAGAAAACACTTGTCATAGATCAAATCTCAAAAAATTTGATTAACCACTTTTAAAGTGAAAAAGAACTTTGTGTTTTATTGAAACATTTTACGACATGCCTCTATTACACAAACATTTCAAAGCCAAACACACTTAGAATCATTTTGTCTAAACCTTTTGATAGTGGAGCATTTACACTGATTTGCTACAGGTTCTGACAGGCTCAGTGTTCTTCCTTTGTCTCCCTTCTCTCAAATCAGCTTTCACTGAAATTGCTTTTTTTCTTGGCAAGATTCATGTTTTACCAAAAATCCCCCAAAAATATACATAAAGATCTGTCAGGAAAGTTTCTGTAACTGCAACAGAAGTGAACTTCATAAAGCTATACTCCCCTTGCATTTGAATTTCCTTATCAAACAGCATGGGCAAACCAGAACTTGGCATACATGCAACCTCATTTAAATGAGTAGTTTTGTTCCTTTTCCACAACTTTTGTATTCTAGCAGAGTACAACTGAAATGGCTTTGGCTCAAGATTGAGTTTATTTTATAAATACTACAGGGCACGATGAAGTATTAAAATGAGGACTAGAATTTGTATCAAGGAGTAACAACCAAGATATTATTCCCACTGGTCACCAGACAGACAACAGATGTCAATAGTACCACAAATAAGAGTCTGGTTTCTGGAAGGAATAAAACAAAACTATCTTTGGGCTGGAGAAGGGGAAAAGGGAAGCAAGAGGGAGTTCACTGCTTGAATTACACTACAGAAGAAATGGAGATTAAAGACAATTGTGTAAGTGAGTCCATTGAAAAGATGGGGGAAAAAATAATACATACAGCTGTCCATCCTTGCGTGTATAAAAGCTGACAGACTTGATAGTTGCAACAACGACCACCATGCAAAGCGTGACAGGTACAAACAACATAATCACATGTTTTGCCCCATATTTCAGTGTCAGCTCTTCATCTTCTTCTTCATCTTGCTCCACCACTTGCTGAATGTTGTTTTGTGGCTGCCCATTTGTCTCAGACTCAGGATTATCATTTCTTCTGCGTTCAGTATTATCATGGCGACGTCTTTCACTGTTGTCATTCTGCAATACACAAAACCCAGTTACCTCAGCAACTCTCCACAATCATATTCTTGTACACTAAGATAAAGATGACCTTGAGGAGGAAAGATGTAAAGTAATATTTACTGTCAAGAACACTTGCTCCAGCAAGGACTTAAACCAACCATAATTACTTGCATCACATAGTTATCAACAGAATGGGAGCACAGGGTTATGCCTGAAACATTTACATTAAAAACACCAACAATTAAGAGTAGGCTGGTTGCATCTAACAGCCTATGTCACCTTTCCTTTAAACAGAATATCAAAAGCTGAATAAGGACAGACAGCTTTTCCCCTTGGTTCCAACTACAGTTAATAGAAGGTTGCATGACAGTAGAATGCTCACAGCTTGACAAGAATTAACTCTCTCTGTTCCTAAGAATAATGCCAAACAGGCATTTATGATCGCCTCTCCATGAAAATTGCAAGAAAATGTCTATTTTCTTTACTATGTTACTCCCACTACCATACACTAAGTAGAATACATACTGAAATGAAGTTTCATGAGGTATTGTGCTCCCATATTTTTAGCAAGAATGACACAGAAACGGTAATCAAAACCGGGTAATTCTCAGTCTTTACACTGAAATTTGATCCCAAAGTTTTAGTGTGATGAGCTAAGAGCACAGACTGTTTCTCTCCTTTCCCAAGGATACTACTGCCACATCCTTTCACTGACATTGAAGAAATTCCACCACTCTTGTCAACAAATATGAAAGAGCCTCCTACCTCTCCTAAACATGAAACATCAAGGGTATAATTCAAACACAAAGACAATGGCAAACTTTCAATGGAAGCAAAAGCACAAACTAGGAACCTACAAGTAAATGATCAGGCCTGCACTCCTCCTGGTGTCACAAATCTATTGCACCCTCTTCAAGAGGCCCCACGAGCAGGGGGCATTCATATGTTATATGTTGTGTGCACATACAGAGAACACAACAGGAGAGTGAGTTCACCTGCTCTGGACTCCAAAGAAACAAAACCATTTTACGTTCACCACACACTCTGAACAAGCACTACAGTGAAACAGTTTATACAGACGACTTGGCTTTTTAGTGTATTACCATGCCTAAAGACAATGCTGTGCTGTTCAAACTCAAGAGGTTTAATGTAAGAGATAAAACACAAAGATTTTTGATTCCTTACAAAATGAATCTCATTTCTTCAGAGTTACTTCATTTAAAACAGTTCTGCTTGAGTAAGTGCACTCAAGCAGCGTTAGATTAAAATGTACAATAAACTGAAGGAAGATACCCTTTGTAATACCTTTAAAATACTACTGAGTTTCAGTAAAATTGATCTAGACATAAGATAGGGCATGGAAAATAACTGAATGAATTTATCCTTAAGTATTCCTACTCAGGTATTTTTTTTCCTTAAACATGCAATGTTAAAGTCCAATTATCTGCTCTCAGTAGCATTTCCAAACAGAGCTGCTGACTTGTAGCTCATTAATTCATTACAGTTTTTCAATAAATCAGCAGCAGTTTTGGAGAATCTTTATAGAGATTTTTCCCAGTCCCACCCTCAGAAAAGATAAGATGTTAAGTATACACTCAGGAACTCATAGTGGGGTTTTTAAGCACTTAAGTGATTAAGGAGGACAAGTCACTGGACTTTGGACTGTAAATACTGACACTGCTAAAACCCTGGTTGAAGCTTTACAACTTCCTCAACTCCTGAAAAATTTGCTATTACAAAACAGTACGAAGCAACAGTACACACCAAACACTTGGCCTATTTACTCCTTTTTGTGGCATCCTCAGGATCAAGCTCAGCAGAGTTTCAACACCTGTCTAAGAACAATTGTTTAATTTTCACAAAGGAAAGAGAATATAAGAGGAGAAAAAAGCAAACTAAAATTGCCTAAACTAAACAATTAAAACTAGGAGGCAACCAAATTTTTAGAGCTAAGGTTTTAACCTTAATTTGAATTTAGTATCACAAACTTAAAATACATCCTGAAAAAGATCTTGGGTTCAATATTGTTACTTACTACATCAAAGATCACTTGGCATTTTACGTAAAGTCCTCACATACAATTACTGAAAGTCAGATAGAAATGGGAAGATGGGAGAATGCAAATAAAAAGATCATATTTAATTATTCTGAAATGCTGGCTGCAACTGAACCTCTTTCTGTACAGATTACAGCTGGAATGTAACATTTTCACTTTGATAGTAAAACACTCCATTTCTCTCAGTCTACAACAAGACAATAAACTTAACTGTCTAAATAAAATGCCTAAGATGATCATAAGTAACACTACATTGGAGATGAACAGAGCCTTCGAACACTGCACAAGTAAAGCAGACCTAGTATTTAGGTTCCTACACACTTGCAGAATGCATTGCTCTTTCTCTGAAGTAAAAGCAGTCTTGCATGAGGGAGCACTTACCCCTAGCTTTGGAACATAGAGTAAGTAAAATAAAAATCTACAGCTCTGCAAAGCAAACACAAAAGCAGCCAAAGGAAAAGCCTCATTAACTAGCACACCACTACACAGAACCTGCAAAATCAAACACAAAGAAAAACTGAAGAAATTAGACCAATATGTGCCATTGTACTCCCTTCACTAGTTAGGAACAAAAACGCAATCACAAAATGCCTTTAAATTCTAAAACACATTGCATGAAAACCAGATCAGCATCAAGAGTTATACAAGTTATTCTCTCATTTGTGGTTAAAGCTAGAAAAAAAGTCCTTTCAGGCTACTAAAGTGTAGCTAAACGTGACATGCGCGTGCCCCACTGCTTAAAAGAACAAAGTGCACTCATTTCCTACCTGATGAGTATTAAACAGAGCAGAGGCCATGGACTCTTGCTGAAGTGGAAGCAAAGGAACAGATTCTTCACTGTCCTCAGACATAGTTAAAAGTGAAAATTCTGAAGCTAAAAAGTCAGTAACACCTGTTGTAACACCGTAAGCAAATGTAAGTTACTAACTACGCGCTTTCAGGTGAATAAACAATAGCAAAAGCAAATGATAGTGGTTTTTCTTTTCCTATCGGGAAAATAGTTAATAGCAAACCCAGAGCAATGCCCCTGAACCAAGAGATAAAAACCTAGCATATTTGATAAGAAGTTTTAAGTTATTAAATCCAGATTTATGCATCAGGAGCAGACCACCTTGCCTGACAATGGGCATAGAACTTCATCAGTTCCCACATATACCACTGATGTTTAGAGGTCATCATACAGTGACAGATATTGAAGACTGGGCTGAACTCTTGGGGTGTGACTAGAAGAGATTGCAAATTATAACACTTAGTGATTTCACATGCTGACTGTTAGCCACAGAAGCTACATATACTTAAGCAGGAAAGGATTTTTGTATGTATGTACAAACACAAAGCAGATGTGTATAGGAGAGAAAAATCATTACAGTAAGTATCAAAACTACAGAGTTACTTAAACATGGAAAGAAAAAGCACAAGTAGCAGTTACTCATCAGTACAGTCTGTTAGTAAGAAGAAAACAGAACCATCTGCACCCCATTGCTGGTAAGGAGCATCACCAAGTTATCTGTAAGGATAGTGAGCACACAGCTTATCACTGAGCTCTGCCTCTTCAATCTGGCAGAAGTGTTCAATAAAAATTAGTCTCTCACTTGTCCAAGAGGAAAAGAACCTTTTATCATTCTCTCTTAAGTAAAAGCAGAGAGGATGCAGCAGGAAAGCTCCCACTTTTCTGTTTATATTAGCAGTTTCTATAAACAGTAAGCTCTTAAGTCAAATTGACTTCTTAATTTAAAAATAATTTTTCAAATGTTTTATATTTCTACTGATATAGCAGGATGCTGATCTGAGATTAAGACAAGGATTTTTCAAAATTCTACTTAAAGTGCTGAATTGTATAGAAGAGTGAGAGAAGGGATCAAAGCATTCTCTTGACTTACTGCCATAAACATGGCTGCAAGTGGCCCAGCCTCATGAGAACATTTCTGTGTCACAAGGAAACCTGATATTCAAGGGTTATAGCAGGAACAAAGAACAGAGCATGACAAATCCAAGAGCCTGAGCACCACGCCCATGTAGATCATCTAAGCCTGGTTTTACCAAAACACATACAGTACAACGAGTATAGTTTTAGCAACAAGTATGTGCTTAGGTCTTTCAAAGATATCATATGAAACTTCATGGTTTTGAGTTCCCCCTCCCCCATCTGAGAGCACTTTGACAATTATTTACAAGACAAGACAGAGTTGTTCTTCCTGCATAGGAACAGTCCTTCAGCAATAGCAACAACAAAACCCACACTCAAGCTCTGCCTAGACTAAAATTAACAACATGACTGAGATACCTGTGAACAAAGCAGACCACAGCCAGGCTAGACCAAGAGAGCTCACTACATCCTGTGAAGGTTAATGTTTGACACCAGAGTGTCCCACCCCATTCTCTTATTTTTCTTGAGGGCTTGGTTGCTCCAACACCACTTTAAACTGGGGGAAGTCTTACTGTACATAAAAATGAGTTTAGAACACCAGATATTTTGCAGTATACTTCTTTCAGCACTCTTTATCACCACAACGCTTCACATAGGTAAAATTATTCCCAACAAATTACGCATCCTGATTTACTGCTAGCAGGTAACAGAATTGTTTGTTACATACGGTGTTGCTGAGGTGGGTATCAGGGAAGTTTTCTGTCAGCTGCCCATGCTGAAACTGGGGTAAATGCGCAGACAGTTCTGTCATTGGGGCAGACCTCTGGAAATCACTTATTGCTACACAAAATGGATCTTTCCTCTTGAGATGCTGAAAGAAAAAAGACGTGTAAAAAACATTTGTTCTTAACATGACCAGGTTCTCCCTCCCCTCTCCATCTCGATTTTTAGAGCCAACACAGACCAAAGACAACCATCTTCCATCTAACCACGATACCAAACTGTATCACATCTACTAAGAGGTTATAATAGGGATTTTCCAGCACAAAAATAAGAGCTTCTAAGAGTTATCAAATGAGTTCATCACCCACAGAACTCAGCCAGCAACAACTAACCACTCAAAGCAGTTCTGTGCCTTTGTGCAACAAATGAGCGCTGCACACTTGCTCAGAGCACAACTTCTATGTTTTAATCTCAGCAGAGTACAACTGCTTCAAGTTGTTCAGATTGGGATTGCTGATAAGCTTAAGGGTCATTTGCAAGCAAGGATGGCTGAGTTGCACTTGACCATTTAACATGTAGATATATCCTTATTACTGTAAGGCCCTAAGAGTGACCTAGTGCTGCACAAGATAGGATTTCAGCTGAGCCTGAAGAATTTATTCAGTGCATTCAGTTTCCCACAGGTTTTATGTACCAGCTAAATGTACACAAACACACCACATGTACACAACAGCTTCATACCTTCTTCCATGCAAAAGTCAGATGTTAACATTTTCGTATGCAAACATTAATAAACCATGTGCTCCATAATGAAGGAGGATATAGGGGACCCAATACAGGGGAAGAGGAAGTTTGACCTAAGTTTCAAAAAAACCCACCACAACTTTAAGAAACAATGAGTAGGCTGAGATAAATCACAGGCTTGGTTACACAAATAATAGATAATGAATACACATCAAGGGTGGAGTCCCAGTTCATCCCAAGCAGCTCATCCTCCTACCTTGTGCCAACTCCAGCACTCATCAGTCCTCTTTACAGTGATTTTACTCACTACAATGGAAGAAAACAAACCCAGGAAAAGGAAACAAGAATATTTTTCTGCAGTTTTATTACACCCAGCTAATGCATGGAGTGATCTTGAAAAACTCTCACAACAGAGGACATCACAAAGCAAGGCCTCTCCCTTTTGGCAGTAGCAAGGCACAAGTGCTGCAAGACAGTGTCTTACATAGAGAGAGAGTTAAGCCTATTTTGATACATGTGAAAATGCAGAAGCTGTTTCTCTATTTACAAATAAATATATATCTAAGACTAGGGCACAGTCCTTACTTCAGCAGCTAAGTTAGTGTAGCTTTCACTAAAGAGCCATTAGGAAGCAACACCAATTTAACAAGTCTAGTGGGAGTATGCAAACTGTTTGGGAAAAGAGAGATGATGTAGTATGCATCAAAATAGTTCTCTTCCACATTCATCATTAAAGAGAAAATACATCAAATTTAAAACATAATTAAATATAAGATCAGATAAAAATAGATAAGAATTACATTGCTTTTACTTTTAAACTTTTGCTCTAATTCTTTGGCTAGGCCACATAATATAAACAATGCTGGTTTAAAGCTGCTATTGGAAGAAAATCTCAGTGACAGGGCAATCACAACAGAAAAATGCTGAACACTTTTATTCAGATGTGGAGCATCAGAATGAGATTTTTCACATAGCAGCATGTCAAAGTTCTAATTAAATTACAAGAGAGAAAAATAAAACAAAATGTCTATCACTAAATTCTACTTAAAGACCTGGAAAGAAAACCACTACAACCTCACCAAACAAAAACCCCAGCTACTGAGAAGCAGAGGGAACTGGAAGACAGGGAAGATTAACTGATGGAAGAGTTGCACCAAAGCTTGAATGACAGCATCTCACAGACCTCAAAACTTGTGGTCTGTTAAAACAATTCCTTTTGAAAACTCATGACCTTAGAAAACGGATTCGGGACACCTTCCCTAACAACTTAATTTTATATTTCTAAATAAATGAACGTTATCGTGTAACTATGAGCAAATGAAATCTACAAATGAAACGTGGGCAGGCATAAAATTGAAATTTTACTTTTTTAACCTGACAAGGGACTCACCAAAACATTTTCTCCTAACGAAGCTGTTGATATTAACACAGCCTAGCTCTTCCTTTGGCCTTCCTAGGTCTTAACAACAGGAGTTACAACTGTGGTTTCCATGCACTCACACTTAGCCTAAGCAGCAGAGGTAACACGCAAGTAAGCGCCTGCTCCTCGTTACTCGCAAGGGAAAGGAAAGCATCACTCGGGCACCAGCGCGTTAATCCGCGCGGCGGGTCCCGAGGCAGCGCGAGCAGCACCCACCGCTTCCCCGGGCAGCC